GATGGAAATCAATCAAATGATTTATATTATTTTGACTATCATACCATTGAGATGCATAATTTGATAATATTAATTGCAATTATAAATAATTCATATCCAGAATTCCCCGATGTTAAGAATCTCCCTATCACCTCACATGCTTCTCATGAAATCTTTCTATCTCATATACTTTTCAAATAAGTGTAGATTGTATGATATAATTACTTGAAAACTCAAATAATATCCTTATATATATATATATATATATATTTGTTTATTTGTGACGAAATAGTATTATATCTCTAAACGTTCACAACAGCTCTTTTCAAATCAAACTTGAAATTATATAAAAAACGTCTCGACTTCCGTTCCACACATCTTGCGTTCTACTTCTTGATGACTGGAAGTATTCAACTCTTTTATAATGACAATAAACTTAAAGAAATTAGAGTCATGTTCATTCTCATTTAATGCAACTTTTTTGTCGCTTTAGTGAGTACGAGTAAGAAATCATTTCTCTCTTATCCATTCTATTCTCCATGAATTATCCGACATTTAATTCAATTCTTACAACTGGATGAACTTGTGCTTACCGATCAGCGAAAACTTCCAAGAGCTAGTGTATGTGCACATGCACAATGACAAGAAGAGAAGTTTCATGAATGTCATGGTCATGCCTCTCTATTCTAGGACAATGTACTATTCGTCCTATTGTTGCTAAAAAAGGACACGAGATGGTTCTTACAATAAGACACTCTCATTAAGCCGGCCCAGAGGCAGAGAAAAGAAGTGCTTTCTTTATGGGATCACCAGAAACGGTCCTACAGATGTTTCGCCTCATTCCAAAGTGCATTATACTGCTTGACGTACATGATGCCTTCCAAAGCAAAGTCTGTCATAGAGGAACAATATGAGTTGCGACGGTAGCACATCAACGAGAAGTCACCCTCGACTCGACTTGTCGTTGGCATCACTATCGCGAGACCCGCCATGAACTGCTGCAACTCTACGAAGCGAGAACCACACGGAGATCAGGACTTGGAGAACACAATGCGCGTCTTGGATTGCAACTGCGACATCAGCGGCGATTCTTGGTTGGTAATACGAATCAGGTCCTTGTGTTGCCGGCAAACAGTCTGCAGAAACTCGGACCCGAAAGCCGACCGCAACTGCGCCTTGTGGTTCGCAACCAAAGAAATGAAGTCCACCACCGATGTCTTGATCAGCTCCAATGGCAGACAAGGTGGAAGAAAAGCCGATTCGCGAACAGAAGACTGTTTGCCCGCCATCACCTTGACCACGCCGCTCATGGCTTCGAGATAAAGAACTGCACAACCACATAGCACTCGACTCCTACAACGCGCGTCTAGCTTTGCATCAAGCTCGGCAACATCGACGTCGATGCCTTGGAGTAGTAGCTCCAAACCAGCAACAGTCACCGAGAGCTGTCCCTTGGAGACAATGCTACCGCCAAATGACACCGGCACGTCCAGACTGCGAGACTCGTCTCGCTCGTGGAGCATTGCTCCTGGAGCTTCGCGAGAAGCACGCGTAAGTTGTCGTACTGCTTGACGACAACACTAGACTCAACTTGAAGGGCGTCAAAGGTGATGCTCACAGTCTGTAGGAAGTCGTAGACAACAATGGCAACCAGCCATCATTCCTTCGGCGGGGCCGATACGTATCGCTTCTCTTCGAAGAAACCGCACACCGTGGATCGGTTGGTGAGCAGCCACTTCAGCACCTACAGAACGCAACATATAATTGATTACTTAGCCAACCAGACAACAAAACACACAAGCAGTAACAAACACACCTTCGACACGGACGTCCACTTGACGTTGATGTAGTAAGGACACTTGCTCCCCATTCGGCAAACTAAAGTCTCTTGTCGCCGCAGCCAGCCGATGATTGTGGTCAAAATGCTCATGAACGGGAAATCACTCATGTGAGTGATCGCATGCAACGCGGCCTAGATGATGAGATCCAACTGATGAGCCAGACACCATACTCGGTAGAATGCCGGCCAGCTGACAGCAGTGGCGAGCTGCGATGTGAATCCAACATTGTAGCCCGTCATGTTTGGCGCTCCATCGGTGGACGAACCAATGAGCTTATCCTTCCACATTGGACAGAGAGCATCAAACACCTTGACGAAGAAGTTGAACAAAGACTCTCCAGTGTGCGACTCTTCGAACAAGGGTATCGCCAGCAGGTGGAACAATAGAAGATCGTCGCCGACCTCGAGACCCGGAAATCGAATCCGCACATCCAGGTAAGAGTTCCCGAAGTCATTAGTCGATACATCACTCGCCACCGCAAATGCCCACGACTTCGACATCACGTCCGCAATAATTTGTAGGCCAACGGCAAATACAATTCGGGAAAAGCATGAAGCCTCTCCATCCGAAAGGCAGTGAGTCTTCGACGCACAGCCAAGACGGTCGTGGTTCTCGAGTATTACTCGCGAGATCTGCCGGAACAAGAGTCCGGCGGCGAGCAAGGACACGACATAGTCGAACTGCAGCGGATTGACGATTGTGACATTGTAGCAAGACACGACCTTGGAACCATCGTCTTCGATCACGTACTGAGGCTCGGAAACATCCATGCCACGATCGCCACGAAGTTCCTTGCCGCCGTCGTCGTCCCGCGGTGCGGCCGGCATCAACAGCTCCAGGATGATGACGTCGACGATGCTCTTATCGATTGTGAAGATGCTCTTGCGGCCAACAACCGTGCTGCGCTTCTCAAAGAAAGCATCAATTGGCGATTGCTCGAAGAAACCCTTGAGAACCTCCGGCGTGGAACTGGCCAGCTTTCGCAACGCTTCGTACTCTTCGAACTTCTTAGGCTGCTGCTCCTGCATGTGCTTGCGGATGTTGTCGCTGTGAAACACGTCCTTCAAATGCTTGTTATTGGTTGTTCTCTTCTGCTTGCGTCCATCGGCGACTTCGTCGTCTGCGACCTCGCGGCCCCAGCACTCGCAAAAGCGACGAACAACGGCTTGAACAACGCCCTTGTTCTCATCGCGGGCGGTCATTCGCAAGCCAAACTCGAATTCGAACTTATCTTGGTAAGGAAAAGACTGTGCTGTCTGTTTTCTTCGGGGCGGCATGGTGCTCAGCAGGAATCAGCGATCAGCTTGACGCGAATAGAGGGTCCGTTGGGCTCCAATTGCTGTACAAGAAAGTGCGACCGGAGTGCGACAACTGCGCCACGCACTTGTTAAAATAGGAAGCAACGCCAGCCTTAGAATAGGACATCGTCGTATTATAAGGGGATTGTCCTACTTTAAAGAGGCATGGTCATGGTGAACAAGAATCACTTTCAAATGCAACACTTCACATTCAAGACCAATAAAGTTTGCCTTATATTGATATCAAATCGATTAGTTTCTCGACAATCAAATTCATATGTGCTATCAATGCCTAACATACTGTAGTGTTGATCTCCTCGCGCCTCTGTTTTAATTTGAATTGCTCAAATTGCTCTCAATGTAAACTTTCTAATTCAGATTCTCCATTATCAAATCATTTGCATTATCACCAGCATATTTGTTAACCAAGACATGAGTTGAATCGTGAAAGAATTTTGATCACACGTATGTTATGTACAAACTGCAAAAAGTTGATGAAAATTTTGAAATTTGAGTCTTCATACAGGCAAATTTCTTTTACTCTTGCATGCTTAGTTCAAATTCTTAAATGGATTAAAATTAAAAATCAAAATACAGAATATTACCTCTAATAAATAACATCTTAACAATTTACTTCATTCATTTTTGAATCATTTATTATTATACCATCACATGACCAACATTAATCATCCAAATACATAATCATATATATAATTATAAATATATGTAAAAATCATGTTAAAATTTGTTGTACCACAAAGTATTTTTTAGTATTGCAAATTCATACAAAAGTTCATGTCTACGATTTAAATTTCTTAATCAATAGTGTGACCCATACTAGTTTAAAAATTATTCTTTAGAACATTTTGTATAAAACACTGAAGTGTATTCTAGATCTTTGTATCTTTAATTTCACAACGTGATATTAAGATGCAAAGAGTGCATTTTAGGCGCGGCAGATCAGGAAAAAATACAATCTTTGTTCAAAGAAATGATGAAACAACGGAATTAGAACATTAGATTGTGCATCACTTTATGAACTAGATAAAAAAAAAAGAAAAAAAAAAGGGTAAAAAGTCGATGACGAACAAAATATGGAAAGAGCTCATCATGCCTCACAATAACAAAGGGGTTATTAGGAATTATATATAAATAACATCACTCTGAGAAATAGAAACAACGTAAATCTTACGTTTGAAGAAGGGCTATTCTCATATGTCTCAAAACGTTCCACGTGCAACAAGATCATGCAACACAATATAACCGAAGCTTCACGTGACAATACATCGCCTAGAAACGGTATCCTTTCATTTCATCGTCCTAAGGCTTGAAGAAGCATTCCTCTCGTTCTTCTATCCACTTGTCACACTTCTTTCGATGAAAGTGGTCTTCGGACCGCCAGAGGATCTAACGTGATGTCACTGAAGTAGCAACCACGAGAGATTAAACATTTCTCAAAGGAGGAAGTCCACCGGAAAGTACAACAGACAGAGAGATGATTCCTCCCTAGCCTCATGGTCTCATACGTGGAGGTGTACACGCGAAGCGACGTACATTATGGGCAGCATCGAATCCAATAAATGGGCCGCATAAACTGATCGACGAAGTAGCGGCATCCCTGTATGCGTATCAACGTCCATGCAAGATCGAGCGCCTGGGCGCCCGCGCCCAGCGCCAATCAAGGGCTCAGATGCATCGTGAGAAGGGTTTTACAGGAACAGCACAGCATTGGTCCGTCTGTAGCTACAGACGGACCAATGCCGGGCCGGGCGGGGCCAGGCCCTGCCAGCTGGGGCCGGGCAGAGGCGCCTCGTCCCGCAGTTGCCAGTGTGAGAGAGAAGCTGCGCTCTTATGAAATCGCAGTGGCACGAGAAGAGGACGCATTCGGGACTCGACTGAGAGAAAGGAAACGACAGCGCTCGAGAATTTCATCTCTGGCTGCGCTCTGTCCTCTGCAGGCAGGCAGGCAGGCAGGCTGGAGCTTTTGCCAACATGGTGGTCTGACATGTGGGTTCTCGTCGTCTCGGTCCTTCTTCTTGATTGGAAAATGTTACTTTATGTGTGCAGCTGTTTTCGTGTCTCGTGTCTTGTTCCGGAACCTGGAAATGGAAAGCTGTCGGGTCTAAGCGAATTTCCGTTAAGAAATTGCGTCGAGGATTGGGGAGATTTTGTTTCGTGGCAGTGGGGATGATGGAGTAGGTTTGTACAGGGGAATGAGGGTCATTGTGATGGGTAGCTGAGAATCGCAGGGCTTTGGGTGGAAATTTGAATTTTGCGGGGTTTGGTTTGGTGTTGTGATGTCTGATCTTGATTTTGCTTCGCTGGACTGGATCCGAGCAATTGACTTCGTGATTGTTGTTTGGAACAGTGATTCTTGAAGGGTGGGATTGGGAAAATTCTGTGTGTGGCGCGTTCCAATGGCGGCGCCCGCTCCTCCCAAGGGTTGGAAAGTGGAGTACGCGAAATCTGGAAGGGCATCATGCAAGATTTGCAGTAATGCAATTGCTAAAGAAACTTTGCGCATTGCGAAAGTGGTGCAGTCTTTCCAGTTCGATGGATTCATGACGGTGAGTTTCTCGCTGATTCCAATTCCTACATTTTAATGTCTAGTGATCTTTGAACGCTGTTTAGATATAACCGGTTTCAGTGACTGTGAACTCTACTGTGCACTTCTGTCTACCAAGTGACGTCGAAGGTTGGAAATTTGTGATAGTCGCATCGGTGGAGAATCCCATAAGAAGCTGCAGCTGAAGCAGCTGAAAGCTTTGGCACAGAGTATCTCTGTCATCTCACTCCGTCCGTGTTGTTTCGAAGACTAATGTTCACCATTTTGTTTCATATTTTAACGTTTCTTAATTTGTTCAGCTCACGTGAGACTGATGCACGTAGACCTAGGTCCATGTTTAACGACAAATCCGCCAGTGCATTTTATCTTGTTCCGTCCAAGTAGTGGAGAGATTGGACCATCCTTCCCAGAAATTATAATTTCCTTGTTCATGCCCGTCGCTCATAGGCTTAATGTGAATGAAGGCAACAATTTTATCACGTGATGAGAGATTGCTTGATCGATCTTCCATAGCTCATGGAATCATGAGCAGCCCGGTAATCTTTAAGGTTGTAAATTCTTTGAAGCGTGTTTTATAACAGAGGAATTGCATTGCCCTTCAAATTCCCAGTAATCTTAAAGAACGAGCAGCAGACTTTGTTTTTCCCCAAGTATCACTGGCACGAGAATGAGAATGCCAGAGGACACTTGGTGTGAAGCTTACTGCTTATGCTGACCGCTCAGTAACATTACTTCTCCTGACAAGCCCCGTGGTTTTGTTACGTAAAGAGTCTTCTACTACTTGAAGTGCCTACTTGTACAGCTTGATGTAGCTTTTCTCATTGTTTTCACTTCACAGGTGATTTTTGTTCAATATAAACATCCTAGCTCCGCAACTCGTATATATGACTTGTACTCGATCTTCATATATAGATATATATCGAAACCGTTGACATTAAAGTTCTGGCCGCACGCTTTTTATCCATTCACATTTAGTGACTGTCTGCTTTGGCATCGATGACCAATTTGTGTAACTTCTCCATGTTGAATATTCGCGTGTAATTTACATTTGCTAATATGCCTTCTTTGAATTTCAGATGTGGCATCATATGAAATGCATACAAAAGAAGCCAGGGCGTATTAAGTCGTAAGTTTTCACTTGTAATTATCGCGAGAAGGGTCAGATGCCTTTCCTTTTAAGCTGAAGATTTTATTTCTTGAAGCAATCATTATAGTTGTGGTCGAAGAATGCTTAAATAGTAATGCCGTTGGATTACGGGATTCTCACGTCAAGTGCATGATAGTAGATAAGACCGAAAGAGGCGGAGAAGTGTTGGGATAGTGTTTTTCTCGTACTCCAGAAAAAATAACTTTGTTTTAAAGGTTTTCCTTGACTAGCATTAGAAAGAATAGAAACCTACATCATACTTCATGCTTACACTTGATGCTTCACAGGTTGGATGATATAGAGGGCGTGGATGATTTACGATGGGAGGATGGCCAAAAACTTAAGAAATACGTTGAAGGTGGAAAGGATTCTACAAAGGAGGAGGAGGAGGAGGATGACGAAGAAGCTGGTGGTGAAGAAAGTGCGGGAAATGGAGAGTATGCCTGCGAGAATTCCAAAAGTTCCAGAGCTATGTGCAAATCCTGCAATGAGAAAATCAGCAAAGGAGAAGTAAGTGTATCACGAAAGCGAGAAAAATGCCTGGCGTATTCACTGTTGAGAAAATAGCATATTCAACGTTGTGACGGGATTTAGCGAATCTGATATAGTGCCAGCTAATGCGTTCCCTCTCCAGGTACGGATGTCTACAATGGTGGACACTGGCAGATTTGGCAAAGCTCCCGCTTGGAGGCATGCCAAATGTTTCCACGAACTGGGTTGGTGGACGAAGCCGATAGATGAATTGCCTGGGTGGGACAGTCTTGGCGCAGATAATCAAAAGGTCCTTCAGGATCTTTTCAAGTCTTCAAGCAAAGGTTCTAAGACTGGTAATTTTCGTTGCAACTACCTGATGAGATGTTATGTTGTTGCAGTCAGAATTTCTTACTGTTTAGAAGAGTTACTTTTGTTCTCCAACTTTGATTTGGACGGATCCGTATATGTATCTAGCTAGTCTCTGATTTTCAATCTGAGTTTCATACCGATGAGGAATGGTGAACACCCCCTGGTTTTGAGGTATCCATCCCTTACAACAGTTCCATAACGAGCGATTTAGATGACATACTTACACCAAGGTCGTTCCCATGCACAGGAGGGAAAGGTTCAAAAAGGAAAGCTTCAGAAGATGAGAAGATACCGTCTGGGTCTACCGCAATGACAGTAGATACTAAGAAGGGCGCAAAAGGAAAAGAAGCAGCTAAGCGCCCAAAGATTGAAGATGACGAACCTCTGATAAAAGATAAGAGGACGACGAGGAAAGCGAGCGAAGAAGCGAGTGCACTTGTTGACAAGAAGGGCAAAACTGTATCTGGGAAAGATGCAAAGAGACTATCTTCACCCTTGTCCGATGACAGTTCAAGCGAACTGGATAAGAAGCTGGAGAAACAAGCAAAAGCCATCTGGGCTTTAAAGGACGACTTGAAGAAGAACGTTGTAAGTTCGGAGATGCGGACCATGTTGGATGCCAATTCGATGGATGTGTCGGGTACTGAACTCGAACTCAGGGATCGCTGGTGAGTAGGTCACAGCTTTTTCCTTTCTGAGCGGCAAATGGCGGATGCATGTCCAGTCTGTGTTTACGGTTGTCCAGTTTAGGTTCATCAGAACACAAGGTTGTACTTTAAGTTTGGTCAAAGTTGTAGAGATGAGAAGTATCTGATGATGGAAGATATGTCTTATCCTTTAACAGCTTGATTTATACATAACTACCTGAATCGCAAACTACGCGGAATGGTTCATTGTGTCATACAGTTCAGCAAGTCGTAGTTGCCGCTGCCATTTTATGTCCAGATTGTCTTCAAGCGAATCATGATTCCTTTCAAAAGATCAGGGACATCCTGAAGTCTGAATGAGTGAGGGTTGGATTTCTTTCAGTGTGGATGGCATGCTATTCGGCGCTACCGGCAAGTGTCCAATGTGTTCAAGTCCAATCGAGTATCGAGATGGTCAGTACAAGTGCAAAGGCTTTTTAACAGCCTGGAGTAAATGTACCTTCACTACTCGGGAACCAGAACGAAAAGCTGGAAAGTGGAAAATTCCTCAAGATGTTCTAGATGGAAACGACTATCTGAAAGAGGTTGGTAGATATCCTATAATCTCCATTTGATTCTTTTTCCAGTGAATACATTGATATATACACTTTGGACTCACGATGGGACGCAACCCTATCGTCCCCACGCCTGTGACATCCGTGGACTATTTGAGTGGACAATTCTCTACAGCTCCATCGTATACGTTCAATTTGATCGGGTTTCCTTCTTCCTCTAGTCCCTTAATTATATCTTAGAATCACTCACTTCGTTTGTAATGCGAATTTTCTTTCTTCAAGCTTAAGACATTTGAAAACCTTTTTTTGAGGCTTCTCTCATTCTTGTTTTATCTTGAAGTGGTCGGAGAAAGATCGGAAGAAGCCGAAAAAGGAAGCACGTATTTTAGTGGTGCACGAACCGGTGAAGGTTGATGTTCGAAAGCAAGAAAAGGACAAGGCAGCGAAGACAATTGCCAAGGGTCCGCTAGGAGGACTTTCAGTCGCCATTGTTGGAAGACTCGAAATGACTCAAGTACGTTTCTAGAACATAATGTGATTCTCTTCTGAAAATGTTACAGGGATCTCGGATTGCTCATGTGAAGTTCGAAGTTCGTCTAGCTGACATACACCACGATGACACATGTGAATATAATTGTTCACGGTATTCCGCACAGGACATTAGCACGTGGAATGATGTACATCATAGCTGACAGACAGTTTCTGTTTAGCTCTCATCATCTGGGCATCTGATTTATCACTGTTGGGGATCAAGTTTATACAGCTGTTCCATTAAAGTTTCTATATGTGCAATGGACGAGATTCGAGTACCTCGTAAGTAAACCAGCTAGTAGTTGTTTTATTCTTCTTGTAGATGTTATGTTTCATCTTTCCCGCTTGACAATGAATTATGTTTGACCATGTATGACAGGCTGCCTGGAAGAAGATGATTGAGGAAGCCGGAGGTAGCTATCACTCAAGCATCGTGGCTGGTAAGGAGCTTTGCGAGAACGATTACTTTTATTTTTACTCAAAACTTGTACATCTGTGTTTACGTCGAATTTAGCCATAACTGCTATAGCCTTTGACATGGAGCATACAAGCAGCTGACTAGGTCAAAGAATGGAACAATCATGGCTGAAATCTCTGTGTCATGATGCTTTTACCATTATCTGTTCTGTGGAAGGTCTTAGACTTGTACGTTGGGCTACACATTCTGATTATGCCTTGGCAATTGAATATCACAACAATCTTATTTCCCGCATTTTAAGGCGGAGTTCATCTTTATTTGATAGCCTCTACGACGAAATTTACGTCAACATAACACAAAGTCTCTTACACATCAAGCCCTGGGCTTAGTTTTTATATTCTTGAGATCACTGCCGCTACAATACATCTTCATAGCCACCTTGATATAACGGTTTGGAAGTGTCTATAAGTCTTAGCTCGAGAAGGGAGAAGTCTTCCGTTAAGTCTTCACCATTTTTTTGTGTTTGCTTTCTTTTTGTGTCTTTAGATACAAATTGCGTTGTGACAAGAGACAAGGAAGTTGAAAGACAGAAAGACAAGTTGCAGCATGCCCAGTAAGTTCACTTTTAATCTGCCCAAGCAAAGACGTATTAGGTCATCCCAACCTCATTGTCAGTATCATCAGTGGTCTTGCTTCATCAATGGTCTGTCCACTTATAACTTTCATTTACTTTCGCATATATTTCTCTGCTTATTGCAGGAGCTTAGAGATTCCAATCGTGACGGAGGAGTATCTCCATGATTGTATAGACAAAGGCAAAAGACTTCCTACGAAAGATTACCTTGTTGAAGTCGGCTCCAAACTGCCTTCCATGACCAAAGTTAAAGTCAAAGGCAGGAGCGCTGTACACGAAGATTCTGGTCTGCAGGATACAGGTCACATTCTTGAAGTCGGGAAGGTTATCTATAATGTAACGTTGAACGTCTCGGACCTCAGTACTGGTATCAACAGGTGAGATTTGCTTCCTTCCTTGGGGCCATGGGGACTTCATCTCGTCCGAAGTGTCTTTTATTATCCGTAGTGCCACTTAATCAGTGTAATCGATAGGGATATGTCCAACTGGGTTGATGTTGCATCAAAATTTATCATTCTGTATTTGGCAGTTTATAATCTCCTTCAGATTCCGTCGTTCTAGATGAGATATTCTCGCAATAAAGGTTTACAAAACAATGCATTTTATTCTTTGTGGAATGCAGCTACTATATCCTTCAGATTATTGAAGAGGATAGCAAGGCTGTGTACCATCTGTTTCGAAAGTGGGGACGTGTTGGAAGTAGTCGAATTGGTGCCCAAAAACTGGAGAAGTTGGGAAAGGTGAAGGTCATCGACGAGTTCAGGCGTTTGTTTACAGAGAAAACAGGGAACCACTGGAAAGCTTGGGAAGCAAAAGAGGAGCTTGAAAAACAGCCTGGGAAGTTTTACCTTGTGGATATTGTAAGCTCTCAGTGGCCTACACATCTCTGTATATGGATTATCTCGTCCTGTTTTTATTTCTTTGACCAGACGCTCCTAGACATTTCTTGCAGAGGATGGGCTCAAAGTTTCTTGCACTTATGCACCTTACCGAGCAAGGAAGAACTTTCTCCAGACAACTTGCTGCAGTTCTGTTCGCGTGGCTGTAGTGAAGTCTCGGTATCTGTCCATTGTTGTAAGTCTTCGTGGTATTGTGTACACCATACCGATTCTTAAATTGTCGGGTCTTACACACAAAGCTCCTAACATGTGGAAGTCGATACGTAAAGTTATGGGGTTGAGGTAAAGAAGAGTAGAAGCAACTCTTATAAGAAAAGGGAGGGGCACCCTCTCATTGCCAATGACTGGTATCCGTCTAGGACACAAGTCTCCTTCCAAAGCAGGACCTCAAGACGGGCTTTTGAAGTTGTCCGGGGCATTTGATCTCGAGTTGAGGCAACGGACCTTTGAATAGACCTTTTTTTTTTAATCCGTATCCAATTTTCATGATCGAACACCTCGTTGTTACCAAGGTCTCACATCCCACCAACCACACATCGGCAGCGTCCCAAGGACTTTCTTTGTGGCCTCAGTTAGTTATATTGAGGAGTTTCTATTTCATGTTAATTTTTAGAGAAGTTTTTGATCCACTCCACTTCCCTTCAGGGGTGGTCTCGTTTCTACGCAACGATATTAGAAACATGTACTCACTCAAGCAGAGAGATAGCGCTCTAGGTGCTGAAGTGTGTCGCAAAGTTTCCTAGTACTCAATCAATCATTGCAATGCAGGACTACGGAGTGAACGAGGAGGCCCCCATGAAAGAGCTAGTACCCGCAGGATCAAAGAGTAATTTGGACCCTCGAGTTATAAGCGTATTGAAGATGATGTTTGACGTCGAAACATTCAGGTACTTACCGTGTAGCTTGCTCTAGGATAACGTTAAATTATAGACCAAAAGGGCCAAAAGGGCCAAAATGTCTATGATCATGAGTTTCAGGCCTTTTAAGGTACCTACAGTGTAGCTTATCTAAAATAATACCGTAATAAAGACCATCAGGTCCATATGTACGAGCTTCTGGCCTTGACAATTTACCCTGACGCATACGGATACCCCGACACAAATATCTTCTTCGTCGACAATGTGCTTGAAGGAGCGAAATGTGGAATTGCTGAGTTATGATCCAGATTGTCAAAGTCAACGATTTATTGCACTTCACAATGACTCTTCTTTCCTGTTGGAACAGGGCTGCCATGATGGAATTTGAAATAAACATGTCGGAGATGCCGTTGGGAAAGCTGAGCAAGCGGCATATTGAACGAGGTCTGCAAGTCTCTACCTTCAGATATCGTCTTGCCGCCTTGGCATTTTAGAACGCAGTTGATCTGATCGATTTTCTCCATGTCCTTCTTGCGGCAGGTTTTCAAGTTCTTACAGAGATTCAAAATCTCATGAATATGGGCAGTGATCAACCTCAGAAAGAGGGCTTACTACTGGATGCCAGCAACCGCTTTTTCACACTCATACCATCTGTTCAACCAAACGTCATCAACTCTGTAAAGATGTTAAAAACAAAGGTACGTGACATTGAAAGGATGTCTGTCACGGACAACCTGCTGCATCTAGTTTTAGGGTGTAATCAACTGCTCTATCTCTATACTGACCTCTTTGTTTTGGATGCGGGAAGCTTGAATGTTCAACTCTAGAGGAGCTTATTTTGGAAGATTTGTTGCAGATTGATATGCTCGAAACTCTTAGAGACATCGAGATAGCATCACAGCTCATTGGATCTGTTGGAGATACCGATGAGGATCCAATTGATGTACACTACAAGAAGCTTCGATGTGGCATCGATCCGATTCCACATAACAGTGACGACTTCAGACTTGTCAAGAGATATCTGGAGAGGACTCATGCTCCGACTCATAAGGTCATACATTATGCTTTTGTTTTCGCCAAGGCTTTGAACTTGGAGCGTAGAATGGACATATTCTCTTCAAATGCTCAAGCCCTTCCTACATGAGATTGTTCTAGAGGATTGGAAGAAGCCATTTCACTTTATAGTGAAACCTCCTGGTTTGTGCTTGTGTACAGGAGTGGCAGCTGGAGTTGGAGGATGTGTTTGCTGTTGATAGGGAAGGAGAGTATGAGGCTTATGCACCGAACAAAAAGGGGCTGGAGAATCGTATGCTACTCTGGCATGGTAATAAATAATTGAGCACAAGCCACGCTCATTCTGCTCTTCCCAAAAAGTGGGCCCGGACTCTTGTTCCAGTAAAAGAGACTCTTCTGGAGTTTCTTTGACTATTTCTCTAAGCTATCTCAACGTCCACTGTCGTGTTTCGCAGGTTCTCGAACAACAAATTATGTTGGTATATTGAGTCAGGGTTTGCGAATTGCACCTCCAGAGGCACCCGTCACTGGTTATATGGTACGTATAATGCAACAAAACACGAGTTTCATGGCCATGTATTTTCTTTCCAGTTTGATTCCTGTGTTGGTAGTTCGATTCTTTTACAGACCTAGACCAAGCCCATGGAGAGTTTTATTAATTGTCTCATGGATGTGTCTTCTGTGCAGTTTGGAAAAGGCCTGTACTTTGCAGACTTGGTGAGCAAGAGTGCTCAGTATTGCTACACAACAAAGAAATCGCCCACAGGTTTGATGCTTTTATGTGAAGTCGCTCTTGGGAAAATGGAAGAATTCAAAGATGCGCAGGTGAGGACCATATCATGTTCCCGAAAATCAGCTCTTATACTTGTATCAAAATTTTCCAGTGCCACTCACTTTTCTGTAGAACACTTTTGATTCTTCACTCAGTATATTTAATTTGTTTGCTTTCTTTCTCTTGACAGTATATGGAGAAACCAATGAATGGTAGCAATTCTACCAAAGGTGTAGGCAAGACTGAACCGCTTGCGTCAGAGTTTAAAATTTGGGACGACGACATCATAGTGCCATGCGGAAAACCTGTTCCTTCTGCTGCAACTGACAGCAGTCTCCGGTACAACGAGTACATAGTGTACGATACGAAACAGGTGAGTCCCTTGAGCTAGGACATATTCTCCCCTAATCGAGCTCTGTTGCCATTTCCAGAGGTTTCATGTGGAGCAATTTCTCTGTCTCTGTTCTAATTTTTGTATGTGGCCTGGTTGGAGTGTGCGTTGGCTCTAAAGATCTATCGTCATGTTTATTTGAACTGACCACCGTTTCTTCTCCTTTTTAAGGTTCAATTGCGCTTCTTACTGAAGGTTAAGTTCAAGCACAAATATTAGGAGTAGTCTCTGAACCAAGAGGGCTGACTTGAAGTATAGTAAGTTTGAAGCACAACAGACCCATCGAACCTGAATGCTCTACGATCAACCCTTAGCGGATGGATGTCTCATTACTTCTTTCAGGCTCCCTTTTGACAATGGTTTCAGACATCTATCCGCTGCTTTTTGTAGAATGTGTAAGGTTGATTAGGTCTCTTGAGTGTCTGAGATCAATGCTTTTACCCAAGACTTGAGGAATTTTACTCTAGGAATCAAGTATCTACGGGAAATGCTGTACTGTAAATTTTTGTGGTCAGGCAGCCAGTGAGGCTGGCTGATTTTTTGTAGATAAGAACTGTCTGACTGGAGAGCCGACCTGCCTGCTCCATGCTTGTCCTTACTGAAAGTTTTGGGTTATATCAAAGAGGGTAAACGTTCGTGTCGACTTGCTGTGATTTTCAGTTTGACATGATGCATGTATAGATCTTTCAGAAGTGAAGATAGAGATAGCCTGTTGCCCCCAGTCGAAGCCCACGGTCTGGACTTTCACACAAGCTTTTAAGCCACAGAGTTAAGTTGCACTTTCCATATATGCCAAGTGAGAAGAATGCAGTGGACCAATTGACAGGCAATTAATGAACTGGAACATATAACTGGCACCTTGACCAAAAGAGTGGTAGTACAGTGGAAAACATAGCAGCGAGACTTGGAGGTTGTCCGCATATACAAACCGGTTCTTGGCCGCCTGCTACAAGCGAATGCACCCATTGGTTACACTGGGTCAGAATGCAGTCTCTAGTCGCACTCGTTTAATGATAAGCCTTAGATTAAGCTGGCGGAAGCAGTCGTCCGACGTCGCTCAAATGGAGAATTCACACCACAATAAGAGTTCGAGAATGTTAACCTCTCTTCTCCTCGAGAACATGACTCAGCGAGAAATTATACCAAACTGAGGAGGTCACAATGGTAAATTAATCTCCATTGTTTGAGGACGAGAGTGTCGCTAGGTACTCAGAAAGGGATGTGAAAAACCGAATTATCAATTCGCAAATGATACTTCTAACGATTCAGTACTTATGATTGATGACTCACTACTTAATGATTGATGATTTAACGTAGTGTTAGAATTTTTTACACATTGAATGAAAGAAGGGAGTAAGAGAAAAAATATGTCCCGTGTGGAGTCAAACAGACGTTCTCTCCGGTTTGTAAACACTGCTTGAACCAAAGTTTATCAAATCGTCATGAAACAAAGCTACTACACGTGGCAGTCAGAAAGTCTGTGTCGTGAAGATATGGTGTTCAACCCACAATGGCTGTAATGTCGTAGCTGAGAAGCGAGGAGCTGCACTCCTCTACTCGTACCTTCCGGCACATGACCTGCTGGTTGCAACATGTGACCCTTCTGAAAACCATCCTCGTTCTACTCTACAACAGTTCGGCAGACGGAAAGACACACAATTAACAAGCTCATAAATGATAAATTGAAAGCACCGTCGAACGTAATCTGAACAAGGCAGGCCAAACTTATTATAATAAATAACGCAGTGACACCTGCGGCCTCAGTTAAGAGAGCAAACAGTCCAAGCAGTTGCCCGGCTTGAGATTACTTTTAATCGTCGTTCAGAATCGGGTGCAATCCTCTGGAATATCACATATGGCCACGAGCAGGATGGAGTCGAACCCACGCACATTGATGATCCGCTCACACCCGAGGACAATAAAGCTTCCCAAACTTCAACCGAAAGCAACCCAAGATGATGCATTGGGTACTACATCCACGGGTCCAATCTCCTGTACAGAGATGGAGAGCTGGATTGGGGGACGGGGCTCGTGAATACAGTACAGTACAAGACAGCAATGTCGATTTGGGTGAAAATTCCCTTCAAGTAAATAAATGTGCTCTAACTGCATTGAGTTTAGGACCGTACCTGTACGATCGGAACTATTTGCCAGTGACGGAGAAACTGGATGTTCGGGTTGGGTATGGTGCCCAGTGGGCTGGGACACTTAAAAGGTAATTCTGTAGTTTAATGGCTGATGGTAGATTCTGTTTTCAGTTTGTTGGGAGACCAGAGGCAAAGATAATGATGACATGCATAAAGCTGGAGAGGAAGGCGTGCAGTTTTGCCTACTTCCAGCAGCACAATACCCAAGGCGGCAATCTTGCTTCTGTATCAGATAACAGGACCCAGGTCCACTGGAGTCCATCCCTTGGAGACTTGCCCTCGAGTGTTTCCTTCATAAGGCTGTGCAGAGGACTCTCAATGTCATCGTGCTTGTGGAGGACTTTTGCCAGGTCTCGCTCGTTCTGTCGCCTGCTTCGGTTTGTAGACTCCGATATTAAGTGATGTTGGTGGATTGCTGTGACATGTAGAAGCACACAACATGCTCTAAAGTTTGAAGCTCGAATTTTACTTAAGATTTGTTGGACTACACTGCAACTCGTGATTTATGTTTCGTTATCCTCCTGATCACACAAAGCTCTACAAGTTCCCCGGACGCTGGGCAGAGATCAGGGATGCGATTTCCGACCACTTTTTCCCTGTAAGCATACCCATATTCGTTGAGTTCAATATGTCGACGAGATTTGATGCGTTCTCAGAGAGAGAGAGAGAGAGAGAGAGAGAGGCTTTTGGTAGTCCGTGCATGTTTCTGATTATCATGAAATTGAGCGAGGAATGGAATCTGCTTGCTAGTAGATTAAATGACGCAGTTCTAGACGAGAAGAATGCAGGTTTGAATGACTAGTAATCTTCTGAGGAATGGCTGTGGAGATTGCAGAGGTGAAGTCTAGCGTGTTATCCTTCCCATGTGAAACATTCAAGACAGCGACTGGAGGCTGCTGCATAGTTTCAAATGACGGTCTTGGCGTTGCCGCACTCCACAGCATTCCAAGGAGGAGCTTAATCTTAGATTTTGAAGAGGAAAGCGATCCTTTGAATGCTGCGTAGTGTAGCAAAGGCAGGATATCATAAGCAGTCGGCATATCCCAGCACTCGAACACAGTTTTCGAACCCGGTGGTAAAGTACAGAAACGACTTCGTCAAACGCGGATAGATAGAAGCGTTGATCGTCAACTTCGTGAGTGAAGCTTCCATTGCACGTCTTCGAAAGTTTGAATGGTGAATAATTACACCCTCTATAATCTTTTGCCATTCAATTACTCAAAACGAGATAACGTGCAAACATCAGTCAATTCATCCAGAACGACCACGGCCAGTTTCCCTTGCATAGTACATATGCAAGTGTTGTACTTTGATAGCGATCTGCTTGTGATTATGATGCAATGTACACTTTTACAGTAACCTTGGAACCCACACCTTGGACTCCAAAGGGTAATCTGAACCAGAGCAACTCGTCCTGGGCCGATTTAGCTGCTGCAGCATGCGGCCATCAGTTCCTCCATGTTGGGTTCGTCCCCTGCTTCTGCGTCCTGCAGAATAGAGAATAAAACAATAAAATAAAAAAATCAGCCATTTCCACCAATTTGAAATTGTTCCTGCTCTAGAGAATTTTCTTCTTCCAAGCACTATCAGAGATTGGATCTTCCCGTCAATTTTCTCGGCTGGAGGACGACCAAGGCCAGTATGTAAAGTTTCTCTTTATCTCAAGCCAAATTGTCTCCGTTCGTATAAGCAACTGCTTGTGGCTTGATGGCGAGCAAACAAATCTCCCAAATAACACGTCACCTACTTTGCATGAAATCTAAGCAGGGTAACTCTTTGACTAAATCTAAGCAGGGTAACTCTTTGACTGAATATCTCGAATTCAGGTATCTCCTTGAGCAAGGAATTTGCGAACTCGTACCCCAGAACATGAAGATAAATACCTTGAAGAAATAATGAACGGTGTCTTTTCCAGGTCCTGCGACGAGAATTCCACCCTGCAGCCTGGTATTTCGTAATATGTCAGAGAAACTGGTTACGATTGACTAGTGGCAATAGCTCATACCCTCATCCATGGCACATAGGCAGCTGCAATAACATATCCTCTTGCAACAATGAAACTGATCACAGACTTCTTTACCAGCTTCCCTTCTGTACTGTGTCCTTATATCCCAACGACAGCTCCCAGTCTTGGTCATAACCGTCGAGCCGTGCTTGGATTAATCTTTGACCGGACTGAATACAGAAATCAGTGCATCAGATTAGAACTGCATACAACCTTAGATACAAGAAGATCAATACACGATAATACGACATGCTGAAGAAAGCTGGAATGGTTTCAGTCAAACCTTCGGATTGACGACTGACAAGAAACCCTTCGTGAAATCTAGAGCTTCATATGCGGCATACTCTGGGTCAGCATAAACCTCTGCTTCCATGAAACGAGGAGATTCACATGTTACAAAAGAACACACTCTCAGTAGACGACCTTTCAGAAGCTAGTGGTGATCAGTATGTCGTCCTAATTGCATCAAAGCAGGATCTAAACTTCTATGTAGCCTGAATGTGAACGGTTTCAACCATGAAAAGCAAAAGGAACGGTATAAACCTCCTGTAAACTTGTTATGCTCAAGAAACCCCTTCGCCTGAACATGGAAGACAGAACTCAGGTTAGTTAGAACCTGCACGGCAAATAGATCTTGACTGAAATCAACGTTTCCAGCAGCCAATGCTGAGTCTGGAATCAAAGAGAAAGATGAGAGCTGTTCGTACCTGTTCCGGTACCCCTGGAGCAATCAGCACAAGTGCTACCCCTGCAGCGTCCATCTCTGTCTGCCAGAAGAAGGATAGGTTCTATCAGTTCACATCAAGAATGAAATGCTTCTCTGGACGTCAGGGCCACTGCAGTACTCCCCTCTCCCTAGGATGGGTTGAAAAACAGATGGATCCAAACCTTACGAGCCTCGAGAAGACCAGCCCTTTTCCGACAAAGCATGCACCTGCAGTTCCAAAGACTTAACTGAGGATCCACTCCCCTCGTCCTCAGGACGGCATGCCTAATCAAGTCCCAAAACGTCTAAAAAGAGAAAAAAAATGTGGTGCTCCAGAAGAGATTCTACTGCTTGAGCTCGGAAATCTACTCTCCTATTGTACAATGTAAAGATTGAACATTATCAAGAAAGGGGGGTGGAGATGTACCATTCTTCAAATTGTAATGTGTGTACATTCCTGGGAATCCAAGTAAAAGAATGCAGGACTGTTCTCATATAAGGTACTCTATCTGTTCAAGGGTTTTTAGCAAAAATTAGTTCGTGAGGGTTTAGAAGAAAACTTACCCAAAATGTCTACCAAACGCAACCACAGCCTTCCGATTCTCCCAAAGGCTGGTCAGGGAAACTCGTGCTCCGGTAGGATCACATACTTGAACGCCCTCCAAGGACTTGGTCAAATAACCTTCTGCAAGTGGTGCTGCACCTGTGACAGGCAGAGTCGAGCAACCTCAAATTCATCGGATTTCGAGAAGGCCAGTGACCTTCCTAAAAAGAGATTCTCATTTTCATTATACATCGTAAGTGGTGCTTGCTCTGGATGTACAATCAGTCAACAATCCTCAGAACTCCTGCTCCATCGAAGACTCTTAATCTCCAGTAATTAGGGCTCCAAATATGTCCATATAAGTTACTAGTCCTTGCAACATTGCAGAAGGAACTTGCCCACATGAGCAGAAAGGCAAAAGGGTCCAAATCCAAAACTTTCATCGAATACTCGTCATGTAGACCTCTGGCAGAAAAACCACTTAGGCCGTGATTAAACTCTGCAGGCAGGCCTTAGTGAAGCAATGCCATGCATGCTCAGTTCCCACGAGGTTGATGAGAACGTTTAGTACCATTTCTCAAGATTAGCCGCAAATGTGAAATACATGAATTCACACAAATGATAGTTTAACATTTGGTCCGATTGTGATAATGGATCACTCGACTTCACTCGAGCTCTGTTGAAATTGATTGAAATTCTGTGAGGCATGTTCTTCGGCACGTCTGAGAAGCGCTACCGCAGCACCAAAAATATCAGAGTTTTAAAACTCTGAAACAATCTGTCCAGCACTAGCAAAAGACACTCATTGCATTAAAAGTCACTCGTCTACAATATTTTGATAACTTGAAGCTCAGATATTTTGACTTCACTTGTCCGCGTTTCTTTCTGTTTAAATCGAATGATAATGGGTTGATCAATCGGAATTTGGCATATTTTATTATAAACAATATCATCATACTTATTCAATTTATAGTCGATGCCGAAATTATCTTGAAATGTTTATAAATAAGCTAATATATTTATACTATGGCTAATTTATATTTTATAGATATTTGAAAGATTCAAATTAACAGAGAGCTAATTTTATCTATGTCAAATTAGTTCAAAGCTAGCCCATCGACAATAAAACGTGTCATCAACTGACGTAGAGCTTTCCCCTGGTTCCGGAAAGCTACCATCTTCTCATTAAACACGACAATTCCGACTCCAATTCAACACAATTGCAGCGGCAAGAACAGATTGATAACAAAGAATTACACCTTACGTGATACACTAGAAGAGCGGCACACACCTGGAGATGAAACAGAGGCACAAACAGGTGTTCTGCGGGGAGTTCCAGCGGTGCTTGAAGGCTGAGTATCGAGACGTACAAATCGGAAACTCTGTCGAGCAAAAGCGGAGGCGGAGGAAATGGAAGAAGATCGGAGCCCAGGTGACGGACGCAGCGAGCTGCAGCTGCCTGATGGCAGCTGCGTCACGGCGCTCGAGGCCACGAGGGTGCCTGTCACCACCATGACTGAGAAGCTGGAACTCGGACTCGACGAGTGTGGCCGAATTTCGCTTGTCCGGGATCAGTGGCTCGACTGCACGAAGCGAGGCGAGGCTGCGACATTGGACATTGAACCGTCTGGACGTTCCCGCCCCGTCATGCACCACACAGTCTCTCCGTTCCATCGTGGAGTTGTGAACCTGCCACATGGGACGCCCTCCCTCTCAAAAGCGTCAACATGATTCTCCACGTGTAATGACACGTGGAGGATCCTGTTCTCTTGCTGACACTCGAAAAGGGGACGATCTCCTCCTTCGACCGAAGCTTTCCATCTCCACATGGGACTACAGATGAACAATCTGCTTCTTCACATGCTAATGCTCGTTGTCCACGGCAGTTCGGATGTAATGTGAGATGCAGTCCATATTAATTTTTGCAACAAAGCCCTAGCCCATGAGTTCGTTTCATCCCGAGAGGTTTGTTGTGTTTCTTTTGCTATTAACTGGGTACAGTTTTTTTTTTTTTTTAAGTATGAATTTGTCCGCAGCAATTCATGTGAGCAGAAATCTTCATTGTGGCAATCTGATGCTGTAGATCTAAGGAGCAGAAATTTGATGGTTTGATGAAGGAACTCAAGATTATTGGAAGTGATAGGTGTAATGCCACTGTAGCTCACATCACTTTTTTCCAGATCTAAAAGTGATTTGTCATATTCATTGTGATTGAGCAGATTGTTTTTGGAACACTGAATGCAACCCTTAAAGTCCAAAAGCTCGAGAAATTCGGTTGGTTAGGGAAATCTTGCGGCAAGAGCATATCCAGTTTTGTTAAAATTCCAGTGGCACCCAATCGAAACCATCGCAGAAACACTAACATATTCGTAGAACTCATTTGTACAAGAAAATACCCATACTAGAACATGTATTAGAACTCACTTACGTTATACCCATGGTAGGGTCCCATCGAGTAAATTGAAACTTGATGTGTCCCATCAAACAATTTACGTTTTGATGAGGTCCCATCAAATAACTCGTATGAATGTGTCCAACTTGCAATAAACAAGGTCCATCTCCATGGTGCAAATATGCTTTATGGACATTGTCAACTTCATTTGGGAAAGTGACCTGACTCGAGGACCAAGAATCTATCAAGAACATTAGGAGTGATGGTCATTTATTGAGATTGCCAAGACCATCGATAGTCTGTACATATTCTTGTGTTTCAGTACTCATAGGTCAAATTCTTTACGAGATTGATGAATATCGCAGAGTAGTCATTGTTGACACACAAAAAGGAGACGGCTCGAGAAGAAAACATGCGTTTGTCCCTACTTTGAGCACGACAAAATTACAAGTGTCGGTGGTCCTTGTGTTAGCAAAATATTTTAATTCCTTTTGATTCTTCAAGCATTCTACAATTTAATTTGATTACCTGAAATTACTATAATAATACTTATTAGATTATATATTAGTTTCGATGGGACCTTTGTGCTCCTCAAGTAATCATGTGTGTGGGTTGTAAGATCACACCCTACACTACATTTTTACACACTACACAAGGAGAAGAAACACAAAATTGCAAGACATCTATGTGATTTATGGAGATATATCCCGCTGATCAGGGAGAATCAGGCTCGGAATGCTTGAGATCACTCAATATTTTATTCAAGATTATCCGCTGCTGATTCTTCCGGACAGCAAAAGATGTCGTTCGGCGATGAGCACACGAACTCTAAGCTTTCAGAACGGAATGACTCCATTATCCTTGGCCCACTTTTGCATGACTCGGAGAATGTACTCCACCTTCACATCACACCAGCAAGCTTTATAAATCACGACGGCAGACTTGGCCCACATATGCTCACCAAAACTCTCATCTACCACGCAATTTTCTTTCGACCTTGAGGGCTCCTTCATATAATTTTTCTAATCGTTTACAACAGCATGAAGATATTAAAACCTCATCAAGATTCACCGTCAATGAGCAAAGAGTTCTGTATCTTGTATCTTCAAATGGGTTTAAGGTTACCTGTGGATGATTACTGTTTCTCAATATACCCACAACTTCTCCAAGATGCTCGTTGGGTTCTTTTCCGACGATGATATTTTGGAAGACACCAATGCAAGCTCCCCTCTTCGCATCCCAATAATCAGTACAATCATCGATCCTCTCCAGGACATCGAATGCCTTGGCGGCGTACAAATACTGACCAGTTTTGTAGCACTCGTTTGCAATCAGCACCAACAAACTGTAGACGTTGACAGTTGGTGAAACATGGAACATGTGAGGAGGATAAATTCAGCAAAAAAGAATTAGTCTCTCTGGTAACTAGAAGATCTTTTCCCGTGCTATATAAAGCTTTTAAGAATAGCGAAGTCAGCTCGTGAAATTGAAAGCGCACTGGCTCGTTAAAGTATCTAGCACTGATTGCGAGAATCAAGAATACACGCTGCGGAATTTTGTAATATTGCAGGATATTTTTCTGAACCTGAATGAATCGTCGGAGCCTTCAAACTGAACGTACTGCTCCCAGGCAAGGCGAGCCTTATCATTCATGATATAGCAGTGGGACAACCATGCCTTGTAGGAGTAACTACTCCGGTAGCTATCGCTACAGATCGCCTGCAAACTTTCCTCAGCATCTTGAAACTCTCCATTTGCTGCTTTTGCTATGCCATAATTCCAGTTGAATTCATCTTGGTTTACACAGTAGGATTTAATGGACTGCAGAAGAATAGCGAACAGTCTAAATTTGAGAATCTTAAAAACTACCCCCAAGAGTAGTAAGATAGTCTGCTATAAAACGAAACTCATATAACCTCGATGGAAGCTGGGTCGGTATCCTGATTGCCAATGTTGAAAATCGCTTTAAGTGACCTCGCACTTCAGGAGCCACGATGAGGTCAGGCATCTGGCGTTTACCTTCAAGTAGATGATGGTATCATCATACTGCTTAAGCAAAAAGAAGCAAGAGGCCATGCACTGTCGTCCAGGTATAGAGTCGCATTCGCTTGCGGAAGTACCAACGAGTTGAAACAGCTGATGCGCTTGCTTGGTGACTTCTCCTAATTCCGCTTCCTGACCGTACATTGCCAGGGTGACAGCCTTCAATATGTATTCTTGGGGTGACGATGGATCCATCGACTTTAACATTTCATAAGCCTGTTTTGCTTCTAAACAACATCACAGCAGCAAAAGGAAGCCAGAGTCAAATCCTGCAACAAACACCTACTTTAGAATACAATGGCATTTCCATCAGATGAAAAACGTCACTCACGGTTGTTTCTCAGGTAGTAGATGGCCAAGTTCAGTCGAGCTTCTGGTAGAATACCAACGAGTGGAGGAAACACCTGCAACAAACAAGTCCATTTACTACAAAGTTCCTCTAGATATGGAGGGAGAATGGGAGGCACAGTTACAAACAAAATGACAATCTGTATATGTAGAGGTCCTTCCTAACCACCTTCAGACGTGATTTAAGTCAAGGTCATGATGAGGCAGATGAAACAACCTGCAATGCACCTTCACCATTCCGGAATACAACTTGATTGTGACGGACAAGATCGTTCTCAACTTGTCCTCCACATGCATTCTCTAAAGCCTTCATGTCAGCTTCCGCTGCCTTGCCGTTGAAAAGCTTGAAGTTGTTGCAAGCCTATTGATAACACATGAAATGACTTTCAGCAAGTAGACGGAAGACTCTGTAATCTTCAGTAGCTGCAAGGTCCTTGTCTTTTCTCATCTTCCTCCTTCTATTAAATACTTGAAGATAGATTGTGTCGTCAGAGTAGAGACCAGATTACCTTCAAGTTCATGGCCAGAGCACTGTCAGGACAGACCTGTTCAGCAGACCACTAGTTAGATAGAAAACTCCATAAAGCCAGCCTGCAGTCGCAGATTATAGCAGTAAGTCTGCAACCAATTTAAACAACGATACAACAACAGTGAACAAGAGGGAGAAGGCGTAAAGCTTGAGAATTGAAATCGAACCTGTAAGTAGTTGGTCAAAACCTCCAAGCTGACGTCGTGATAATCCAGGTTGTAGTAGCACAGGGCAATATAAACATTCAATGCTAGCCAGTCCCTGTGCCAGGAGCCTCCTCTGCCCTATTAGGCCAATCAGAGGGAGAGCTCCAATTCTAGACTATCATGGTCACTTGAAACATTCTGTCACTTCTACACTGATCAAGTTCTTGCAGATCAATTAGATTAGGATGCGGTCTAAACCGTCACGATGTCATTTAAATGTTTTTGAAGTAGGCTCGCTTGCATTATGACCTGTTCTCAGAGAGGTGCTGCTTGTAGATGTCGGTGGCCTCCTGATAATGGCCTCGAAGGTAGTGAATGGATGCCAAGCTGAGCATGTCCTCCGTTTGATCACCGAGCTTATCGTGAACATTCATGAGCTTTTCTTCATCGTTCAGGCGATGAGCGCAATGGAACAGGATGCGAGTCTGTAAGGGACTTTCGGGACCTTCCCACCACCACAAGAAACACCGATCAGTAGCCTGAGTAAGATTTTAGAAACTCAGAAACAAGCCGGCGTGAAAGGATTGAGAGCTCACCCTTGAGCGCCTCTTCTTGTGCTTCTTGATAGAGACCCATGTAGAAGAGGCACGCTGCAGCATAATTGTGAAATACATTGTCTGCGTTCGGGCTTTCCAGCAGCTCTCTATACACGTCCAGCGCCTTGTCATGTTCTCCGTGATGGAAATGGCAGTATGCCAACCACTCCAGCGTCATCTTATGGGGCAGATTCGCCTCCTGAAATCCCAGCAAGAAGACAGCACAGTCAATACCGGAACTTCATCGAGCAAGTAAAATTCAAATCTCAAATCTCTCTGTTAATGCTACAAAAACCTCGAGGATTTCTTCCTAGCGCCTGTGTCCCATCCTTCATTCCAGGAATGGGTTCATTACGTGCCATATCGTCACTGCTTGAAACGACGAAGATGTCAAAAGAGAGTAGTCGATTTTTTTCGGACTTTAAAGAAAGCGTACATGGCGCTTGAATTGGAGAAGAACGATGGCACCAGTGTAGTCCCGCAATTCGAGACATCGGTTCAGGGCCGAGACTTGGGGCTTCCGCTGGCCGTGACTGCTTCGTGCTCGCTCTCCCTGCGAAGACACAGAAGGGCGAGCCTTGGAGAGAATCATGTCGCGCAACTTGGGCGACTTCGATTCCTAGCTTCCGGTTAAAGGGCCTCAAAACCTAATGGTGTGTGGATTAATCAAACGCTATCGCAATCCTGGGGTCCGCCCAACCTTGGCCAACACTTGTAGTGCGTCGCAGCAACTCACAATCCACCTGAAGGAATTTCTGCAACGGCGTCCGGCAAGAGAGTTCTCAAGACTGACCTCTCAAAATGACATGTTTCGATTTTCCTATTGAGCCAGGTTGGAACGGTTCCGCTAACCGAATGCACCATATGGACCACATTTCGCAATTGCATCTGAAATCATGCAGAAAAGAAAAGTTCTTGGGTTCAAAATCATTTCAAGAATTTTGCCGAAAGTTCTCTTGAATGATCATGATTATTTCCTTTCTCTTATCAATGAGCTGCTGTGTCCAATTACAAGTACAAAATTGTTCCGAGTACATGCACATGTTGGACTGTCAAACTTGGTTTGGAGCACCTTGGATTTGACAGTTCTTATGAACGGGCTCCATGGATTATCTAAGCAGCTTGCGGTGCACCGAGCTAAGTTTGGGGCAAGTCTAGTGTGCGCTGGGTCCGGCCAAAAGCATTAGTTTGGGTACGCTTCTGATCTCAGCCCGGAAATCTCCGCGACGAGCTTCACATTCTTCTGAAATGTTCTTCGGTCAGAGGATGGGAAAGCTGTTGAGGCAGCCAAATCCAAAAATTTCATTAGGGATACGAAATTGAGCTCATGTTGCAAATCAGGCGCCTAGATTCGAAAGCCTCCGAGGTTTGAGAAACAATGAACGAGTTTACACGTCCGAGTACGAGCTCGAGCATCTGACTTCGACACTGTACTCGTTTAGTCTTGCAAATCGATCAATGATATGTGCAATTCCAAATGATAAAGATTCCGAATGTTTGGATGTGGATTTAAGAATCAGCTGAAGTTCCATGAGAAGAAATCAAATTACCGACTGGGCTCTTCGACCAGCTCGAACAATTTGTGAGATTGATGTTGCGGTTCTAAACTGATTTTTCACGCGTTTTAAAAACCATGAATCAGTTGGGAAGGGACGGAATGCATATCTTCATCCATCGTGAAGGAGATACTCAAACTGAGTACTCCAAGAAAACAGCAGATCCTGGTTGCAGAGAACTTCGAGGGACAAAATTTGCCACTTGAATACCTCGAATTATCACCGAGGCCTCCGACGTTTTGAATTGGAGATTCTCATGTAAGTATCGAAATCCGTCTCATTATATCATATCTCGGCAATTCATTCGGGATTCCTTCCAAAGATTGGTGCTTTAGGATCATTCCCGAATCATAATCTTCCTTTCTCATCGAGTATGTGTGAATTACACCCGAGTCCAAAGGCATTCTTCGATTGAAACGAAAGACACGACATATACTTCTGCAGGCCTGCAGAAAACCATGTGCTCAACGAAGGGAAACATTGAAGTTCCTCGTATCAATTGATATTCATGTTAACTTTGACCACAACTTGATCCTAGAGAGCAATCATTTTTGCAGAATTTACTTGCAGTATTACATATTTCCAATTGCAATGCTATTGGGGTCAAGCCTTGTCTTAGCCATTAGTTTCATCCTTGCTCGGATTCACGTGCTTTTTGCTTTATTACTTGGTACCCAAATTTGTTGTAGACAATGGTTTCCTCGTGGCTTTCTCCACCTATGACCACCTATTTAGAATTTCATGATATGACTATGAAGGGAAAAAAAATGGAAGGGATCTCAGTACACATATATCTAAGTAAGAATAAAATATGAAATAAGAAAATATATGGAACATGTAATAACGAATTAATCATGGAATTGATTGAAAACATTTATGGAGTTTTAGAATACACAGACGCAATCTTGTTGTGATTGAAGGACTCCATCTGTCCCAACACGATAGCACTTCCCGGTGGATCCGCATCCCGATGGGCCACGTGGAAAAGATCTGTACCCGACGTCTGCACTAGAACATGCACGGCTACCGGATGCGCCGGTCCCGTTCCATGCCTCCCGGTACGAGGAATTACAGTAATCCTTCACTCTGGTGTATAAGGAAGCAAGTTTATTTTCACAGAATTATGAGGAAATGAATTTCTGCTGTGCTCCATTAAAAATGAAATTTGATAAAACAGGGAGCAAGGCACTGATTTGACCGATCCTCGTTCAGCAGACCATGCGGCGAGCCACGTCAAGGCTCTGTGTTCTGAGACCTTCTCCGACCTCGTCACACGGAAGAGACGGACTCTTGGTGCTGCTGGAATGTATGATAGTAAAGTAGCGTTCACTCTAATTTGTGAGTGAATGTTGTCTGGACTCTCGCTCAAGACCCGAAGTCAAAGCTCGGAAAGTCTGGTGCAGCTGCTTCATGAATTTGGACCCGGCAAGAATTTCCAAGCAAGGAGCACGAGTTTCATCTCAGATCGATTTTTGCTGTGAAACCGGGGCAGCAGATTCCTCTGTCCGCTCTCTGCATCGAAGACCACCTCCAAATGGTGATCTTTGTATGTGTCCCTCCACCTGAAATAACCTAGAGTCTGCTCACCGTCTTTGTCGCTGAAATCTACTGTCGTTCTTCAGGTGGAAACTAGAGAATCATCTCGAGCTTTCCTTCAGATGTTGTAATATTTTCACTGTTTCTTCAGAGAGAGTGCTGAAATTTGCTGAAAGTGATGAAGATTTTATGAATGTAAAGGATGATGATGAGTAGTCTTCTCTGAGAACTGATTCTCTCGAACTCAACGTGGACAGCTTGGACCGATCGATTAACGGCGCGAGGAAACGTTAGCTGGTTTGATTTGCATTCTGTGCACTGCGGTCAGGGGACGTATGATGTTGAGCTGCAGTGATCAATAACAGTTTTATTTTTTTCTTCAGAAAACTGCTGTATGGCATTTTCAGTCATCTACGGACTCTACATTCCTTAACCGGCGTCTCAGTCCACGAGCTCAGAAGCAGAGTTCTGACGATCTCATTGCACCAATGCTGCTCATTATCAGCTTTCATGGCTGTCATAGGGACTCACATTCAGCTCACTAAGTTGCATTCACGCTCAATGTCGACTGCCTTCCGTATCGAAATACGGCCAACACTGATCTACTCTGAACCTTGCCGTCACGAGACTACGGAAACTCAATTGCCTTGACCGATCGTGCAACTGAAGCATGTACTCCAAACACTCTGGCTACAGAGCCACATGAACTCGGTGCACGTCCTGCAGAAGGTTCAGTAGGGCAAGGCGTGGAAGATACACTCATAATACAGAGCCATTCACAAAACCATCGAATGCATATGTACACTTGGTTCATCACATCGTTGTATCGATGAAATTGCAAAGTTGACAGGAGGACGACAGATCCAGATCCAGATTCTGAAAGGAGGGAACAGAAGCCCTTTACGTGTTTTATTAAGGCTGTATCAGTATTTCAAGTGGAGCACATTCTTGAAGACGATGTTGGCCGGGTCCGAGGAGGCGACGAGGGTCGTCTCGCAGTATCCACGAGCGAAGCGGAAAGAGCCCGTTCCTCCCGTGACCTCGAGCTCGCCATTGCCAGCGGCATTGAGACGCCCTTGCATACCGATGGTCCCCATCAGCTCGGGCGTCTCGTACACGAAGTCGAAGGTGAGATAGATCGAGTCATCCTTCAAGGAGTTCACTAACCCCACCACCTTCCCCAACACCCTCGAGTCCGGCTCGATCGTCTCTCTGATCACATTCGTGACGACCCTCACGGTGCCGAACTCTGAGACACTCAGATTGCCCGAAGGTGTCGCAGACACCACCACTGTATTATCCGGAGCCACGCGATTTTCGAACTCGTAATTCACGAGCATGTCCGGACCATCAGCACACACCAGCCTGCTGGAAATTGCAGCCATCAGAGCTACGAGGACGAACAAGGCCGGCAGCTTACGGTACTCCATCGAGATCGCCCCGAGCTCGGTTCAGATTTCAGCTGCTGGAATCGAAGCTATCGATCAATGCAGTCAAACAGGCCGAATGATTCAGAGACCCTGCATATGCTGCAAGATTTAAACCCGAATCAGAGACACGAGCATGAGCTCCTTGAGATCAGATGCTCAAATAGTTCATGTTTGACTCCGAGTCCTGCTGCTGGCTGCTGAAGATATGCGTTGACTCCATCGAGTACGGACTGTAGAGTTGACTTGCTTTGCAGGACTTTTGCTTGACTCTGCATTGTGTGCATCAGGATTGGCTTCTCTGCTCGTTCCAGAGGATTGGTGTCAGTCAGCGACTGAAACCATTGCAGGACCATCGTGTGGTCTTCGGTAGTCTTCGATTTTGAACTGGAGAAAGTAAAATGATGGAAATTATTGTAAGACCTCGTCAAGGCCTGCATCTGCATAAATCTCGTAAGAAACAGAATAAATAATGTGATCTCGTGTGTTTGTCCGGTGACCTTCCCGTCTCGACCGCTTGTAGTCGGTCAAACTTGAGTCTTCAACTTTGCAAGGAGCGCCGAGTGATAAAGCCAAGAGGGTGGTCAGACCCCGTCAAGTCCAACAATGATGAAATCAAAGGGTAGGATAGGGCTAGGCACCAATATCGTCAAATATGGACTATTGCACTATCTACAATATAGGTAAAAGAGTGCCTATTAAAAATTATTTGAAAGGGAAGCAACTCAAGCTGTCTCGATAGCTATCTTGGCACACCAAGTGCTATAAATGGAGCATCTGAAACATTCTTAAAACCTTACATGCAAGTCAAATGCTAGAGAAATCTAGCATTACACGCTTTGCACAAGCGTGTCTTGAGAGCTTGGTTGTTGTACCTTCACTTCATTGTCATACGTTGATCACTGTAAGAAGCCATCTACAGTAAAATTGACAAGTCTATTCAATGTTTAGCAACAGCGTTTGTAAAATTTTAGATTTAGTAGTCTCTTATAAACTTACATTTTGTCATTATCTTACTAAATTGTGTTTTACTCGATTATATGCTTGAAAGAATGTTATATTGCAATGTATCACATTCATGCCGCATAAAGATCACAATGATCAAAGAGTCTTATGCGAACTAGTCATATCTGAAGTGTTATTAGAATCACATTTGATAATGAATATGTATGTACATGTTCATTTTATATTACATGTATCTAATACACAAATAATTCATTACTTGAAAATAAATGGAACAGATATACATCACAATTTAGCCAAAATCCAAGATCACCTATCCTTGTTAAAACTCTAATAGTAGAGTTACTATAGTGTTTTCTTAAAACATAGATTATCTAAGCAAATTGAATTAAGATATTTCAATTGGGTCCATGCATCAAGCTAGACATCAAAATGTAAGTTTAGTCATTGGACACGAAGGAAGAAAACCAGATCTGATTTTCACCTTCTCAATACAACACTTTCTTTCTGTTTTTAATGATGTTTGTAAAAAAAAGTCATATACATACCTTTTGTTACATGTTTACATCTCAAGAAAAACGTACTTGTTATCATGAATTATGAGAGTATAAAAAATGATCAATAGTGTTCAAAGGTTTAAAAGTCTTGTTTGTTTTAAGCAACGTTTTTTTATTTGTAATCAAAATTTGGATACTAATAAAAGCTTAACAGAAATGAGCAAAACTTATAATTCTAAGTCAAATTTGAAGAGCATAAAATGAATAATGATGTCAAATATGTTCATGACATTTAAAAAAAAAAATTAATAAGAATGGAAAAAAATCATGATAATAATTAGATAATTTAACAAAAAACTTGAGAAAAAAATTAAAAAAAGTTCATTTTTTTAAACATCAACTTTAAAGTATCTAGAAACGATTCAATATCAAGAAGTTCATGCTAATAATTAGAGTATCTGAAATTTTATATAATTTTTATGAAAAAGATGAATACTATATTTGCATGTAAAATAAATTACTCTACGATAGAATTTTTTAGATTTGATGGATGCAATATTTTTCGTTTTCATCATTCACATGCAAAATGATATAACTTTGAAAGATATGCTACATTTTGTAACAATAGATTATTATGTAATTATTTATTCATAAACGGAAAACCAAGAATCTTAGTGAAACATTCAAGCCAATCACAAACACGAGAGACATGTCTTATACCATGGTTCACTCTAAAATGCTACATCCATGGCTGAAACACGAGAGAGAATTTGCTAACAACTGGTACAGAGTATAAGCCTTTGGGGTATGTATGTATGTATGAAAATATATATATATATATATATATATATATATATATATATATATATTCCCAACACCAGCAACAAAGCTAGTTATAGATACCTAGAACTTGAGGTTATTTCTTGACATGACTTTACCTCAACATTTATGTTTAATTCAAATATTGCAATATAAAAAATTTCAGTTGTTTCCGCATTCAAACTTACATTCCAACAATAAAAATCAAATTCTACTTTTAACTCGCAAATTTGTATAATTTTTATCAAACGATTTATAAATGATTGCATTTTTTATACATGAGTATCTAATTTTATCAAGTTTATCGATCTATGTGCCTGTAAAGAAATATTTTTCAAATATTGCATCTACGTATCAACAATTTTCTTTACTATATTTTCTTATTTTTTGGATTAATTTTAATACAACTAAAATTAGTAAATATGCATGCATAAACATCAAACCAAATCATTGTATAATTCATTCTTATAAACTTTAAAAAAATTTGCAATTTTCAAGACTAGATTTTGCTAAACATTCAATCAATAATTTTTTTTTCATTCAAGAAAAATAAAATAATTATATTTTTATATCATTTCTAATTAATTTCTATAATTATGAATTTTTTTAAATTTTGAATACAAAATTTACACTAAACTATTATGATTTATATTTTCTGCCCTTAATTTATATTCAGTAAAAAAAAACTAATTTGTGTTTTGTGAATACCAAAAATTGAATCAATAGTTTTACTTAATAATAGTATGATTTAATTAAAAAATAAGTGGATATAATATTAAATTAAAAATTAAAAATTGAATAATTATTAAATTCAATCAATTTTTTTATAAATACACATTCATTTGTAATTTTTTCTTAAATTTTTTTAATATATACTCTAAAAGTATTACCATTGTGTTTGATTTTTTTAAATTCAATTTTCTCATGATTTATTATTTATGATCAAAATATCTTTACACTATATGTTTAATTTTGATCTTGACTTCACAGCCAGTCAGAATTTATAGAAAATTGAGCATTAGCTTAGTCTATAGGTTTTTTTTTTAAATATAAATTTAAGAATTTAATTTTGAAAGAAAATTTTATATTTCTAAGCAAAAAAATTGAGATTGAATGGTTAAAAGACACTCACTACTTACCAGTCAATATATTTTATAAAGTTTTAACACTGGAATTTTTTTTAACAAAATTTATACAATAAATATATATAACATCACATTACTTTATACACATATTTACAATATAATATATACATTTTCTAGTTTATTTTCACACAAGGCTACTATATGAACTTTTCTTTTATATTTACTATCATATGTTAACATTGATAAAGTTATAATTTCTTTTACCATTATAAATTTCATCTTACACGTGAGTATTATATGTATAAAAAATATCTGACACATATGCAAGTAAAAATCACTAAGTAAGTATAATATCTTGGATTCAAACGTGTAAAAATAATATTTATTTATGTATATCAAATATTCTATGAACATGTAGGAATAAATATTTATAAAAAATATATTAATTTATAGAAGAAATTACAGTATAAAATTCAAACGTAATTTTTTTTAAATTTTTAATCTTCTTATCACAATTTTTATTTTTCTTCAATTCTAATGTAAATGTCCAAATTCATAAAGCTTCCATTTGGCATAATAATGTTGCCGTTTTCAAATTACAATAAATAAATATGCAATTAAAAAAATCATTATTAAATAAATACAAAAAGCATTAGGTTATCAAGAGATGTTTAAAGCAAAACATGATTTAATCGGATAATATTTTTATTTAACTTGGAAATATGTTTTTAACGTGACAAGTTGAAATATATGTAGCAAACTTCATTCATTGATGAAATTTCTTTGGGTTGAAATAACATAGTCTTAAGATTCATTGGAGTTATATTACTTGAAACATAAACGATTTTTTGAAAGCTACATTTTTTTTCAATAACAATTTGTCTTTATTATTTGAAAAAAAAATTTACCTCATTCTTTCTCTCTGATTTTTTCTAATTTCATCCAAATACATAGCTCATAGGTCGGCATGTTTATATTTTAAAAATATCCCAAAAATGTGAAATTATGTTTGGTATATATTTACACTTTTTTTCATGCTATATTTCATTCTATGATATTATATACTTATCAAGTCTAAGAGTGGCGTGATTTAAATATGAGAACGGTTTTGGCATCGGTATATATTGATGTGTATTAACATATCACATATTTACGCGCTCTGATCATGCAACAATGTTATTGACTATTTTTACACTAATTATTAGCAACAGAGTTTAATATATTATCTCTTAAAAAATATCAATAACAAATCAGTATTCTACAATTTTTATGTTTCAACTGTACAGTATGTACCGTGACTAGCCATCCTAACTATCACCTGGTTCCATATTATTGTCCTCAGCTAAGTACTATGATATAACGACAATAATGTGTTGATACAACAACTATGGAAAGAAACAATGTAGTCATAATCTTTTAGCAATGTCGTTACAAGTGCATGACGGCGCTAGCAATAACATCATATAAACGGTGGTATGTTTCGTGTGAGTCAAAGGCAGAGGGAGTTTCTACATGTGGATTATATACCAGAATCCACATGGTTGTTGTACACCATGTAATGAACATGAAAGGGGTGAGTCAAAGGCAGAAGGTGTTTGTATATTATATTTTAACCCACAATCCACATAGTTGTTGTACACCGTGTACTGATCATGAAAGGGGTGTTGCAACGTAGGGGTGTGAATGCCGTGTTGTATCAAGTGCATACATCGCGGAACAGTGTGCCAATTCTCTTTGAATCAAACGAGATAAAAAACAATATGAGCATTCAAAACTAACAACCGAAACAACATTACCTCCATAAG